TAGATTACATGAAAAATGTGAGAAACAAAAGAACATCAAAGACGGCCAACCATTTCAAAACTGACTGAGTAGGTTCAACCTCCCATCCCTCCCCCCTTCCATTTAATAGCATGACTTTAATGACAGGGCTAGTCTATAGTATTAGCATTCAGTCACTTTTCTAATCCCTCTAGGAGTAAACTAAAAACTAAAGTCTTGATGGACAAAACATGTTTTGAGATCTACAGACAGTTTCCTAGAGGAAAGTGAGTCCCTCTGTAATTTTACTTCTGTTGTTTGTTACCCAAATACAGGTAGTCCTCAACTTATAAGCACAACTGAGCCCAAAATTTATGTTGTTAACTGAGACATTTCTTAAGTGAGTTTCGCCCTACTTTACGAACTTTCTTGCCACAGTTGTTAAGTGAATCATTGTAGTTGTTAAGTTAGTAACATCACAGTTGTTAAGTGAATCTAGCTTCCCCATGGATTTTGCTTGTCAAAACATTGCAAAAGGTGATCACATGATCTAGGGACCCGGAAATAGTCATAAAATATCAACCAGTTGTCAAGCATCTGACTGTGTCGATGGCAATGCTGCAACCATCATGTGAAAAACGGTCACACGTCAGTTTTTTCAGTGTCATTGTAACTTTGAATGGTCACTAAATGAACTGCTGTAAGTCAAGGACTACCTGTAGGATTGGGGTAGGTTAGGGATGTTATAAACAACAAAGAAAACATAGTCTCAAATAGGAGTGCAGAATCTGCCAGAACAGCTGGCCAGGAACTATTTCCTTGCAAACCTTCACTCTTATCAATTGCTTCATATGCAGAACATTTTGGGGAGACAAGAGGAAAAAATCCTGGAATTCTTCAATCTTTGATATCCCTTTTTTAAAACTCTTATAGGAAATCTGGCTTCTATAGCAAGGGCTTCATCTTTTCAAGTTTGGTTTAACACTGAGGAGTTTGGAGTTGTTCTTTTTTTCTGCATACTGTAAACTCATGGACCCTCCCCCAAATATCCTGGTCTTTAACCTACTCTCTAAATGACTCTTTTGGGCTAGCATGGGGCAGTTCTTTCTATCTCTTTTATACCTTTTCTTTAGTTGCTATCTATAGGTGATATGGCTCGCTCCTGTGCTGAAACCATGATGCCCAACTTCATTGCCTTCCTTCTGGCCTGGCTGAGAGATGAAGTAGACTAGAAGGCAGACTCTTAGTGCCATATTCTTAGCTATTATTCTTAGCTATTCATGAATACTGGGATGCCGCAAATGGTCCCTGTGTGGTGTTGCTACCATGTCAATCAGCTAATCCAAACAGTAGGGGGTGGGGGAGAACCCAATGAAATCTTCACCACCACTTCTGGTATTGATTTCATGTCATTTTGATGTCATGGTAAACTCTGAAGAGGATCACATCCCCTCTGCCAAGTAACATTCTTTTCCAAATGCTTAGGAAAAAGGAGTGGGAATAAAAGAAACAGATAATAATGGAGAGGCAGGGGGAGGAATTTTTCTTTAAAAATCATACCAAACCAAGGCTGCATTTAGTTTGTCTAGTGCTTTGAGTAGAACCCTACCATTACTCACTATTCAGAGCACAGTAGTGCAGTTTGAATCATGTCTTTAGTAGACGCTCCATCCATAAAATACAGCAGGCCCTCTGGAGACCTCAAGATAACTTCAAGATTGATTTGCACTCTTTAGTTTCTTTCCTTTGTTTAAACTTATTTCATTGCTGGCTCATATTTATTTTTATATATTTATTTTTGGATTATATTTAGAATGACACATGGCAGCATGACACATATAGCTATATATAAATTATGTACAACACTATTTATCCTTTAAACTCCTTTACATTACATTAATGATCTCTAAGCTTTCCTGTCTACTTAGAAACCATTAAGATATTAGTGCTCTTGAAGACAGTAGTCCAAACTTCTTGGTTTGGGAACTTTGGGAACAAAGGAACAACTATTTATAGTCTTGAAGACGTAATTTGCAAATACATTTTTTCTTTGCTAACTTCCTTTATTTCAGAGTTTTTGATTCAGACTGGCCTCAGATTTTTCTTCTAACCTCGCTGGTATTTATGAAAGAAACCAGTTTCTACCATATTTTGGATAATTTAGCCATATGGCCTTTGAGGTATTTGAATATCCACTTAGTGTGTGAGGATAAGCCTTTGCAGAACAAATAATGCATTTATGTTTAGCTCATGGCCTGAAGCTTGATTGGAAAACTTTGGCTAGAACTGTCTTGTCAACAACCAGGCGTTTGTAAGAAAAAAGAAAAAAAGCAAAGTATTCATTATAAAAACCGGAAGATGAGGAATGTTGTACAAAATAACATTCGTCCTAAGCAACCTTTTTAAAAGCAAAATATTCTTATATTTCAACTTGATTTGATTAATTTGATTATTTCAAATTAAAATTATTTAGGACATATGGACAATCTTTTGCTTCCCATAAATAGAATCAGTTATAGTAAAATTATTGGAGCTATTTATGCTCTACAATGAGTCAGAATAAATGCTTTGAAATGAACGGTATGCTGTCCAAAGAAAAATTACATACTACCGTATGAACCTACCCAATTATATTCCTAGTATTCTATGTTCTTGCTATTTTGGGGGGTTTTGTACATGTTACATATGACCATCACTTAAGATTGGGTTAAATTTTGAATCTTTTTGATAACAAAGTCCAAAAATATAAGGATATCTAATAGCTTCATGAAATCTTGAGATTTTGAATGAAATGTTTCCAGTATGTTGATGATGAACCAATCTGAACAATACAGCATTCTGCTACTTAAATCATTCTTTTAATCCTACATTTAGAACTTACTTTTTTTCTCTTTTTAACATGTGCCAGTCTCTGATAGATTGCCTATTAATATCATTGAAGAAATGGATATAGAATACAATCCTATTTTTGAGAGTAGGGTTGTTGGTTTTTTTTTTTTTTTTTTTTTTTTTTTGCATAATTAAATCTATTCTGTCTTGGTTCTTTACTTTTGTTTCAGACTAAAATCTGACCAACCGTTGTCATTTTATCTTATCCTTGCCATTTATTTTACCTCAACCTACCTAAGATTTCCCTTTCCCATCTATGTTTGTAATCAATAAAATTAAAGACTGGTGTACATTAAATTGATGAGAGCTTAACTACCTGAGTAGATACATGGCCTAATTAATGTTGCAGTCCAATTTCTCTACTTCAGATTCTTTTTTTCATCAAAATTCAATGTTTCTGGGATTCCTGGACCCAGGCCTGATTTTATTCCATACTGGATTTAAATCTGACAAGATGGAGGTCCCCTGATTTACCAAGTTCAGAAAAATATATGCAGACAGGGTTGCACTCCTGAAAGAAAATAAGGCTTGGATATCACCCTGGAACCTTAAGCAAACCAAATTATTTCTTAGCAAAGCTGTCCTGGCTGGAACATCATGTTTCATCTCTATAAGTCACAAAAATATTACTTTGAGGTAATATGAGTGGCTTATAAATTTTATAAATAAATAAATAATAAATATATCTCACTTTAGTTGTTGCCAAGTATTATAGTACAATATTGCTTTTCAAAAAGGATTAGACATTTATGTTATGGAAGATTAGAACAGCTAGTGATTTGAACTGATATATTGCCTATATTTTAACAACCTTAATGGAAATCCATTAAATTTTAAACAATAACACAAAGTACTTGTGCTTACTTTGAATATTGGGGATTTAAATATTTCAGGAATTGCCTCCTCCCACCTACACACTTTTTAAATTAGCCAAACCTTATCTCCAAATGCTGCTTTCATTCAGATGACAAGAACACAATAACAACAATGTTGCATTGGGGTATATGCAAGTAACATATTTGCCTGCAAACGAGAACTGGACAAAGTAATAGAAAATGAAGAAACTAAAGTGTTCAAACAGAGAAGTACCTGCCACATAAGACTCCAGACTTAACTATTGCCTATGAGAAAAATCGCAAAGTCTGGATAGTAGACACTGCAATACTTGGAGATAACAGGAGGGGAGGGGAGGGGAAGGGAAGGGAAGGAGAGGAGAGGAGAGGAGAGGAGAGAGGAGAGGAGAGGAGAGGAGAGGAGAGGAGAGGAAAGGAGAAATGGAGAAATGGAGAAAATTACCAAATACAAAGACTTGCAAATAGAAGCAGAACAACTGTGGCAAAAGATGGCAAAGACAGTACCAATAGTAAAAGATGCCTTGGATACAAACTCAATACATCTGGAGCACCACATGAACACCATCAGCATTTACAAAATCAGCATCAATCAATTGCAAAAGACAGCTTTGCTTACATTCTGCAACAATACCTTTAACACCATAAAATAACATCTGCCTGCCCATGTTCTTGGGAAGGAAAGTCCAAACTCCATGTAAGTTATTACCTCTGATGGATATATATCCATTTTCCAAAGCTTTGACAGTTAAGTATTTCACACTGTTGAAATGGGAATTGAAGAGACACTGCAGAGGGAGCATTTCTTTAAATAAACTGATTTTAGCATGGTAGGTCAAGCATTTTCATCTACCATTTTTTTTATCATGGTCAAGTCATGAAAATCCATTTGCAGTTCTCTACCGATCCAGTTATTTCTTTTTCCCCCCCTTCTGATTAATTTAAAATATTCACCCTCTGACTTAAACATCTGATTCTGTCTATTCTCTTAGGCATATTCTCTCTTTTCTACACAGACACAAAAATATGAATTTACATATCTATTTTTTTTTTTACTAATCCACTGATTTTGTAACGAAAACAAGTAGCTAGTTAAAGGAATAAGTACATTCCTAGAATAGCTAAATATATTTCTGTATGTAAAGTTCAATGTGTGTATGTGTGTGTGTAGTATGTACTGTGTGTCTGTGTGCACGCATGCATGTGTGTATATGTGACAGAATAAAAAAGAGAAAGAAAGGGAGCAGGCACTAGAATTATCTATGCATAAAGAAATTAGAAGAGATTTTTTTTTTCTTCCAGAGCAATTGAAGCCCATCTCTTGAACAATGACGACAGCTCCTCATTTTCGACAACAATAGAGGGCACGTAGGAGTCAGCTCATTAGAATATCTGTGGCTCTTTTCTGTTCTCTCTGCATTAAGCCCCCATAATGTCAGTTGTCACTTATTAATGACAATTAACTAGTAATCAGTAGTGAGACTCTTCGAGGTGGTCCTTGTCTGACAGGTGAAGAAAAAGAACATTGCGTTGTGCTATGCAGTGACATGGAACCTTCAAAGGGAGCATGGCATTTCCATAAATTATTTCAGAAAAAAATCTTTTATATATTCTCTTTAAAGCGTAGGGAACTTTAACCCTAAAAGGACTATGCTGATTTGTCTGGACTCACATTCTCGCTAGGTTCTTAACATTAAAAAGTACCTGAAGGCAGCTGGTACTAACCTAGAATTAGGACAGATTAGCTGTGACCCCGCCTAGCTGCCAGTGAATTATATTATCATGGTCAAGAAATACAATTCACCAACTCAGTGTAGGAAGTTAGCACTCACCCCTTTCCTGGAAGAATGAAATATTTTGGGAAATATTAAAAAGGCAGAATATTATGTTTCCCTGTATGAGAAATGGAGAAGCATGTTTTAAAAAACAAACAGCTTCCTGCCTCCCCCACACCCCATACCTTTGTTAATGGGCCATAATTGCAACACAATAGCAACAGAAACTAACACAATGGGACCCATCTAGATAGAAACTCACCACATGGCACCTGGGAAGATTACATCAGCCACCAAGGCTAGCTAAGACCCCCCACCCCCTGGAAGTCTGACAACCAATCAGGATACTCTTTTGGGGCCCCAGGAAATGCAAAGCCAGAGAGAGCATAAAAACCCGAAGATTCACTGTATCTGCCCCTTTTCTGTTCAGGAACTCAAGCCAGGTGATCCTGTCCACCATTAAACCATCTTTCCAAGCAGTCTCCATGTTTCCAGTGTCTTTTTCCCCACTTGGAGCAGAACCCAGAAGGATATTTCTTCCTACATCAGGAAACTAGAAGAAACAATAAATCACATTTGTGATGTTGATTTAGACAAAATACACGTTGCCATTTCTGAGAGGTTGTTTAGGAAAAAAAATCCTTCCTGGTAGTTCTTTTCATCAATTAAGTCCATGAACATTTATACTTTTATATTATTGCTTGGCTTCTTAATGGGTTGGGGCTGACTTTTATAATAAATACCACCAATATTGTTATTAAATTCTTTAAATTCTAAAATTAGACAGGATTTAAAATATTTGTAATATTCCAACAATTATCCATTTAAGAGTTTTATGAACACCTCAAGCTTGCAAATGTACCTAATATTCCTTCCTCCTATTTTCCCCACAAACAACAGTCCTGTAAGGTAGGTTGGGCTGAAAGAAACTGACTGGCCCAAAGTCATCTAGCCAGCTTTCATGCCTGAATCAGGACAAGAGCTCATAGTCTCCTGGCTTCTAGCCTGGTGCCTTAATCATTGATTAGTTGGTGTATAGATTTACACTCCACTGCTCTTATGTGTTATTAGTGTTGTTTCAATGGAGAGAGGAATGTGTATGTTCAACTGTCCTGGTTAAACTGCATACACCAGTTTCTGTTTTCACGCCCATTTCAGGTAATATAGCAATACAGATCTATTTTCACTCCAGAAAGGCAGACTATAATACATGATTCTTATATAACATATCTTCAAATGCTGTGAGAAGTCCAGCCATATAGGGGTGACATGAATGTTTTAAATCTCTGCATAACCTTATACATTCTTTGTCTTTGTGACATCAGACTTCTAATTAGTAAATGCAAATATATATTTGTTGTAGCCAACAGGTTAATGCTTGGATCCACTAAATTACCTTCTCATTTCTGTTATATATCACCAGATTGGGGGAATGCACATTTACTCTGGGTCAATATTAGAGAAATTTTAAAGCATTTCTTTCCCAGGTAGAGGAAGAGAAAAAAAAGCAAAATTGAAGGCTAATAAGTTGGTTGTACCTAACAAGAGAAAAATAGAATAAAACCAAGTAAACAAGTTAGAAGGACTTGTTGAGACAGGCTGACATACACATGTAATCTTAAAATGTCTGGAATACAGCAGTATTAGGGCCTGATGTATCACACTGGGGAGATCATTCTACAGCCAACCAGCACTACAGAGAAGATATGTATCCATGGTACCACCTTGCAGAGAAATCTGTAAGCTGCAGCACAAAAAGCAAGAATTCAACAAGAGGTGGATATAAGTGGAGATGTATTGCATTTTCTCCAAGCATAATTATTTAAACATTACAATAAACACATAAAAGCACTCTTCCAGGAAAGGGGTGGGTGCTAACTTCTTACAGCTGTAAGTCTAATGCCAACATTTGCTGGGCACAATGATAATTTCTTAATTATTAGGCAATATTTCTAATTATCTCATTCATTGGTTACCTATTACACATTTGGAACTTTTTTTTAATTATTTTACCTGAGGGCTAGGTAATGTAGGAGTTGAGAATCACAATAGACTGCTTATACCAATGTCTCCTGTTTAGTGCAAAATCATCTGAGGCAATAAAGCAGTGGTTCTCAACCTGGGGGTCACAACCCCTTTGGGGGTCGAACGGCCATTTCACAGGGGTCGCCAAAGCCCTCTCTCGCCCCCCCCCACGCCTTCACTCACCCTCACTCTCTGCTCTGTTGGATCGCCGGCCGTTCGCTTACCCCACCCACTCCCAATCTATTGCTGCCTCCTGAGTCCCAGCTGATGGCTAGAGGAAAAAAAACTGCTTAAATTCTTGCCGCTGGGCTTCAAAGGGCCGCCCTATAGCCAGTGATGGGATTCTCGGCGGTTCGGCCGAACCGTTTGTTAAATTGCTGGCTTGCCCCGCCCCTCCACACCACTATTTATTGCCAATAAATAGTGGTGGGCGAGGGGCGGGCGAGCCAGCAATTTAACAAATGGTTTGGTGTTTTTTTGTAATTTTATTGGCCCGCGGAGCTTCAGCATAGGCTAATTAGCCCTTGATTAGATCGGCTCCCGCTCTCAGCTGATTTGCTCAGGGCTCTGCTGCTTGCTAGAGCAGATATTTTTTCCCCTAGCTATGCTGAAAAACGAAACTGAAAGTAAAGCAGGCTGTTGGCTTTGTTGTTGCTGCAACGTTGGAAAATTAGGCAGGCAGATTTCTTTTCTTTTTCCTCACCAAAAAAGGTAGGTGCAAACAATGGGAAATTTAGGGAAAAAGAGGAGAGTTCAAGATTTTAAAACACAAAAGAAAAAAAGCTCTATTTAACTAGGGAATTGTAATAATTGAGATATTATTAATTGTATATTGTGTTGAAAGCAGAAATGGTTAAGTTGTGGTTTGGAGGAATATATGGGGGAAATTATTTGGTTTGTTATTATTGGTAAATATAATTAATTGATTTGTAAGAAATTGGATTGCATGGAAATAATTGGAATATTTATGTTCATATTGATTAATATACAAAAAAGTTAGTTATATAACTAATTGATTTATATTAAAATGTTGAATTTATATTAAACATCTGTAATATTACATAATTAACCAATGTGAGGATGGATATAAAAATAGATGACAATGGGAAGGGGTATAATATAGAATAGAAGGGAAAAATTGAATTTGATTAAGATTAGAGATGAGGATGAAGGGTAATATTGGTTTTTTACAAAAATAGATGAGGAATAAATATGGCAAAAAGGAAATATAGAAATTGTAAATTTAATTGAAATGACTAAACACTGTTTAAATTTGTGAACCGGCCAAACTCTGTTCAAAGAAAATACATTGTATGTTTGTATGTGTGTTTCTAATTATTGTTATTTATTCATATTTGTTCTTTTATTCTTTAAAGTTTAACAATTCATTCTTTATCTTAATATCTTTATATTTGTTTGGGGTTGGCTTTCTTCCCTTTCATCTTTTTTATTGTACAGCAGTCTTTCTCCTCAAACCTACCACCTCTCTCTTTTCTTTCCTTCTTACTTTCTCTTCCTCCCCCTCTTCTTCTCCTCCCTACTTCCTCTTCCTTTCTCCTTCTCCTCCTCTCTTCCTCCCTCTCTTACCCTCACTCCTACTCTAATTTCCCTTCCCTTCCTTCATCCATCTCTATTGCTGTATCCTTTTATGCATATGGATTACTCAGAGGGCTGAAAAAGTTATTTCTGACTGGTCCTCGCACTTTTGACCAGTCCTCGAACTTACGACTGTCCTCACATTTTATGTTTTTGCCCTATCTTGTCACCATGGTGAAGAGAAGCAGTTGTGAAATGAGTGACACAGTTGTTAAGAATGCTACAATGGGCATAAATGATGACCAGTCATAAGTGCGAAGACCAGTCAAAAGTGCGAGGACCTGTCAGAAATGACTTTTTTCAGCCCTCTGAATAGTCCCTATACACATAGCCACGCCCACCCAGTCACATGACCTCCAAGCCACGCCCACAAAATAAGCCACGCCCACAGAACCGGTAGTAAAAAAATTTAGAACCCACCCCTGGTTGGGGGTCACCACAACATGAGGAACTGTATTAAAGGGTCGCAGCATTAGGAAGGTTGAGAACCACTGCAATAAAGCTTTTCTGTGATATATCTGCAAGGAATGTCTACTCATAACATGTTTCTTTTAGTTGTAGAAACCATGAAATTACTTGTTCTATTGGTAATATTTCATGGAAAATACTTTCAATAAGAAGCAACACACCAAAAAAAACCCCATTTTTAAGAACTGCATTCAGCAAAATACCCTGCTCTGCTCCGTTTGACTAGGATCAGGTGCATCATCATTTCATCAGTGGAAATCTACTCTGATTGAAATGAAGAAAGGCACCCGAAATATTCAAAATGTACTCCCTTTCAAAAAGACCATGTTTTTTTCCCTTTCTCCCTGAGAATCTACAGCAGGATGGTGACTTGCTGAGATGCTCTGCCAATTTTCTTTGTTTTGTTGGAGGATGGCTTTTTTGTGACATTGAGCTTGTAACTCTGCTTCCATGACAACAAATAAGATGTTATACATTGGAACCTCACAGTGACAACCCAAGTCTAACCAGGGCTTAAAGAAAAATGTTCATGTTACATTTACAGAACAATGGGGGAAAGAAATGACAGCAGAAAAGGGGGACAAGTGTGCATGCATGTGCATGTTGCCTTAGTATT